GGGGGGTTAAACACCGTAGAATAAGACGAGTGTAGTCATCATCGTTGGAGCTTGAGTTTGTCGCTTTTTGCCTTCTATTACATTCCCCCAAAAGAACTATATTATTTGAAAGTTTATAGCGCACGCAAGAGATTGTTTCGTATAAAAAAGACTCGCATTTCTCTACCTCCCCATTCCCCAACCGAAACCTCAACGTCCCTTTCATGTAACTCTGCCCATCCTGCCCGACTAAGTCACACTTAAATCGATGTAATACCATTCACTTGTCAACTTAATGTTTTCATTCCAATGCTTTGCCTCTTCGCTTATACTAACATGTCTGATCAACTCAATGGGTTTTTTTTAAAAGCCACTTGTCAATGGGAGAGGGCTCGAACGAAATTCTATTTTTTTGAGAATGCTCTTCTACAGGCCGTTGAAAAGGCCGTCCCACTGTCACACCATCACCAGAGCGGACAGATTCGGTTCGAAAAGATACGAATCCTGTTCCCTTTATCTACCAATGGCTGCTCCATTGAACGAATGCAAAACGTACACAGTACTTGCATTCACAATGCTATACGTAGGTCTCCATGGAAATCATACATTGAAGTCGAACACAAAGAATAGCAAGGCATTTAACAGCACATCTTTAAAAAAATCATTCCTTTCAGTATAAACACACCATCAGTCATTTCCAGTTACAACAACAGGTATACGTTAAGCAAACAAAACATACTTCTTACAATGATAAATTATTCACTCTCGTCCTACACAATCCAAGTAGCCTGCTCGACTAGTCATTCTTGTTCTTGAAACATTGCATTTTTTCAGCGCTTGCATTTAAATTGAAGTTTTGCCTCTCTGTGTATTTCCGTAGGCTCCTGGTTTCAGTCACAAAGCCTGGTACACCACGGGAATCTACCTATAGTGGTAAGCAATCAAGCTTTATGTGGAATAAATTGTGACACAAATGTTACAAAATGAGTGACTATTTATCGCAGCAGTCAGTGTCAGGTCCTTCAATGTAATTCGTAAAACATACTATCATATTACTCATAATGGCTTATGTTGTCATTCGTACAAACACTAAAAAAAAATACAGAAAAAGAAACAGAGTGGTTAAAATAAAAATTGCATTCAGGATTTCAACTCTAAGGCAAAAGCAAAGTGTCTTTTAAACATTAGATGAGGGAAGTGGAGAATTTACGTCTTGTATTTAAAAGAAAACGAGCCATTTTTTCTTCTACGCTCATCATTTCCTCCATTTAGCCAATTACCCACCTCCCGTACTGTTTCTTTAATGTCCGTTCCTCTGCATTTCCCTCTATGTTATGTCTCTCTACAGGGGCCTGTCCTGCCTTGTTCAGCTAATGCACACAAGATGTCTGTGGGACGCAGGTCATGGCCTAGGTGGTAGTAAAGAACATAGTAGACAGACGTCCGGCAAATTACGTCTCTGCGGTGTCCGGTCTCATTCCGGAGGCACAGTCCACGGGAGACTGTGAACCTTGACCTGGGATGATCTGACCAGTGACTACATTAACAGACATTTTTGCTTCAACTCACTCAAAACATAGGGAGCAGCACCAAAATATATTGTACTATTCTATACTAGTAGTTTCTTGTGGATATGTTATAATGCGCAATACCTATTTATATTATTATGCTCTTCTGTTTTCCGCCCAAAGCAATAGGTATTTGTCAATAATATTATATATATAGCTTTGACATATATGCACACATCCAAAATTCATTGTCCCCGTGTTATCTGAATTCCAAAAAAGTATAAAATGTATCAAAATACTTAATACAAATGTAGAGATACCAACTATATCAATATAACTATGGAGGGAACAGTTACGTATTACTTGAGACTGTTTTGATTGAGAATGCTTCATTCGAAAACAAAATAATAGTTTAATTCTAGCATTTTTTGGTGTCTGTGGTAAAGCTATTAATTATTTGTTCGTGAAAATGGCTTACATATCTCATCTTAATTCAAACTAATCGTGTTGCGTAATACGTTATTTTGAGTTTAAAATTTTGCTTTTGCGAAATATAGAACATTCGTTCTAATAATACACGGAAATTTGACATTTGGATGACAGGAAGACGTCTACTTTCTCAAGATAGGAGACATTGGAACGGCACAACCTCACTACACCTTATGTCTCCATATTATTCAAACGGAAATAAAGAAAAATATATACAATGCAGATTCCAAAAGATATGAATCAAGCAGATAACACACCCAAGCATACAAACGATCAATCTCTCACACGACACAATAAGTTTGTTCAAGAGCATTTTTCTGTCTTGTCACAAAACTCTTGAACATTATTGTGAAATAACGATTTGTCATGGCGAGGGCGTCGGTGATCTATGACTGGCTTTATGTTGAATTGTATGAGATGCAACAAATTATTCAATAGAAACAACCCTAATCACACTCTAGACTATCTACTATACGTCTTCTCCGTCACTTTCATGTCCATTGGAAGGCAGCGAGGTCGTATTCCTGATCTGAATGGACTTCTTACTCCGGTATAGATCCCAGAGTCCGGACATGATTTCTGCAACAACGATATCGCTTGAGTTTTTGCCGACAAGCTTGAGGGTGAATACCCCGTCGTGGCGTAGATACTCCATTGTGAAGCGCGTGGCTAGCTTCTTGTCCGGGCCCGAACCGATGCGGTCCATGATTTTGAGGAATTTCCGGACGTAGTGTATCCGGGAGGACGGAAAGACCATATGCCAGAGCCAGGACAAGAAACTGTAACAGGTGAGGGTGCAGACAAGGACTAGCCAAAACCAAAGGAAGATGTAGATCTTCTCGTTGAACAGATTGATGGGCAGCACGCACTGGACGCTGTAGTTGTGCTTATTGGTCATCTGGCGTATCTCGAAGTCGCACATGGTCACGCGCGGAAAGCGGCGGGATGCTGTCCACGATTCACCTTCTATCAAGTCCTCAAGGACCTGGAAGCCGTAGAGGTTGTAGTCCGTGGCCAGAAAGGCATTCATCATGAAGAACTGGCCAATGGCGTTGGAGATGTAGAGCACCTTCATGGCCAGGTAGGTTGAAACAAGATAGTTGCCATACCGTCTGCCGCACAACAAATTCAGCTTGGCCGACAGGATGTGACGTAGCGTGACACAACAGCGATGGCGGCTCTCGCGCTGGTTGTCAAGGCAACGATCTATATGACGCACCACATACTTGATGGTGCGTATGCGCACTTCCGGAGCTTCGTACTGCGCGTCGCTGGCCAAGGAGACAATTCTGTCAACATTGATGCCTGACTGGCCGTTGAGAAGTCTCCAGATGATGCACGGGATGTAAAACAACAGAGCCTGGATAAGCAGCATCACCGGTACCCATTGGTAGTAGGTCAACTGGGTTTCCATGCGCTTGTCGATGCTCTCCGGCACGATGAAGTCCATAGGTATGTAGTAGGTGTTGGAGATCCAGCAGATGTTGTTGGTGTAGTCCACATGAGCCCCTGTGAACTGGGCGGGGCACCAGCATCTGGTGGAGGAGGGAAAAGGGTGAGAAAATGTTAAATGGAAAAATTAAATAACACCTTAGGTAGTCATTCTTTTCCCATTTTATGGGGAGGGTGTGGGGGTGGGCGTGAAGATTAAATTTTTGTAATTGTGGAATCAGGCTCTCGTCAAAATAATCAAACGGAAGAAACTTGCATTTTTCCGCAGGTTTGTGAATTTTTATCACATTTTTTTTTTGGCTAAACACCTTTCATGCCCATTAAAGAACTCATTTCTGTGTGGATTTTTCTGAAAAACATTAATTAAAGGCACAAACAATGTAAATGTTCAGTTACCACGGACTAAGGAAATAACTAATCTTTGGCGGCCATTTTCTCACTAACTTTACCTCTGAAAACAGGTGACCCCCACCTCCTTCATTAGGAAATATCTCGACTTGTATTCAAGATAAATTGATATTTTTTTCATCCAAATAAAGGCAAGTGAACAAACTTTCAGGTGATACCAATAACTTCACAAGCCCAAAAATTGACGAGCGCCTGATTCCACCACGATGCCTCACGTTTGATTTGTTTGTACTTTATGGGAATTTTAAGTTTAAAATATCATAATAACCTCACACCCCGCCCCCTTCCACTTGCCCACGGTATGTCTTTCACGGTCATGTGTTTTTAGGAGTCCCTTTGAAGTTTTAACACTCGAAGTGTTTTGTAATTTTTAAAAATTTTTCACTCGTTACACCCGTGAAGCAATTGGAGTCATGTTTTGGTAAGTGTGTCACCACGTTTGCAACTACAGATTTGTAAATTATTGACATTGCGGGTTCGTGAGTTAGAGGTTTATCTTTCTTTGACCTTGTGTCTTCGGGAAAGTTACTTTACAAGAGTTTTTCCCATTTGACTCGGTCCTCTTGGAGACTGACGTCAAATTCTGAAGTCCTGCCTCTTAAATAACTTTACAGTGTTGCAAGGATCGTTAAACCTATACAGTTTTGCATTTTTCAAAAGAGAAAAAAAGGAGAGATCAAGAGAAATGCTCTGATAACAATATCGTAATTGACGAGACATACGTGAGAATACAGTAGCTATAGATTGCATTTATTCAGAAAGGCACTATGGGGTCATACGTTTTGAGTATCAGTAAGGTGCAGTAAGTAGTAACAGTACAAATTAAATAGATAATATAAGTATAAGCGATGATTAGAGAAGGGATCAATGGAAAAACAAGAATGTAAAAAGACATGACTAGACTAGGCTATACAGACATAAATGAAATTGTCAGGAAAAAGGGTATTTGTAAAAATATGACAAAGGTGATAGGAAAGGAGCACCATAGATTCTTCCCACACATGAAAGACACATTCTACAGTATCCTCCTCGCGACCGGCATACAATTATTTATGTATGCCTCGAACTTTATTCCCACCCTCATCACCTCCCTCACGGACATCACGATTTACTTTTTTGTTTAGAAACATCTCTCTCTCTCTCTCTCTCTCTCTCTCTCTCTCTCTCTCTCTCTCTCTCT